TCTTCTAGTAAAAAAATTTGTTCATGAGTGTTCATTCGAGATGATGTATAATCCTCCAAAATATCAAGGGCATTCAGGATGTCAAATGTATCCCTTTTTAGGAGGCATTTTAGTGATAGAATATTACAAAGTTGAATTTATTCTCTTTCTCGTGATATAATCTTGTCTGCTTTGTCTGTGTTGTCTTTGTGATTATAAAACATTTACTGATTGAATCTTAGCTATCATAACAGACCCGTGGGATATAAAACATCTAAGACCTGTTCATAGTCCAAATCAAAAACATCCAGTTAACTTACAATAAGGATAAACCAATTATCTTCTCGATTCACACCTTTCTCTTAATCCAAACTTAAAACATTCAGTTCTTTCCTAACAGGATAAACCAATTAACTCCTGTATTCACACCTTTCCAAGTCATCCTGTTGTTTTCCACAAATAAGGGATGTTACTGAGACTAAATAAGTTAATAAGGACAATATTGGTTCATTGTATATGGAAAGATAAATAACAACTATAACACTGACTGATCAATATGTGGCTATTATTGAAATGTCCAGACATTTGATTTCTGATAAGAATGTTCAGATTAGACAGGTCACTTTTTCATATCTGGTTGTTCACTGTTCAGATTAGGAGGAGTTCAGATTTCAAGGTTTATTTAACATGAAAGTCAATGGGAGGAAAAAATGGGACCTAAAAAGTGTTCAAATTGGAAGGTGTTCGGATTAGCCAGGTGTTCAGATATACAGGTTTTACTGTAGTTTATAATGATTCACAAGTTCATCTTTTCATTTCTCAAAACGTTCACGATTCTCGTCATTTATGATAAAAAAACAGCGGAACGGTAATAGAGAATGGAATGTTTTATTTTTTATTTTAAATTCAAAGAAAGAACAAATAGGTTTTTCAGCATTAGTTGTTCTTTGTTGCAAGGCATTTAAATTTAAAAGAAATGAATGTTAGAGCCTACAGAGCACAGTGGATATATTGTTATTTCAATTTGGTCTTTTTTGGAATTTCAGACTATGTTTCATTCCATTAATACAAAACTATTTGTCATCTGTCACTGTGCGCCATGATTAAATAAGTATTACATTCTTACAAAACATTTGCTATTGAATATACTAGCATTCAGTACAAGTTCATGAGGTCATTATGAACTCCTCTATAACAAAATGAAAAAGCAAATAAAAATCCTTTGATTTGGAATCTTTTAAAAAATCAGCTAAAAGTGTGGGAATTGCATGTTTCAGAATTTGACATATCTCAAATGAACTCTAAAGAATGAATTGTATGTATGACAAATACAAATAAATGCTTTCATGTGAGGTACACAAATGAAGGGGGAGATTTGTGGATAACATAAAAAACGAACCCCTGGTTACCAATTGCTGGCTACGCCACTGATAAGTAATTCACGACTTTGAAAATGTTTTGCCAACTTTTGCGCATGGGACTTCATATTTATCCCTAATGACACAAGATACTTTTATTTCTTAAAGACCATTCCCAAGTCTTGTTAGTGCAAAATTAATGAATATAATTTCATGTATATATTTTTCATTGATGCACTTGATATCTAAAGTTCACAATTTGTGAACAATTTCTGCATCTTAAACTTTCATAAAATAAATGCCATAATGATCAAATTACAATACCTTTATCACTTATTGTAATATGAGGTAATTTGAGTGTGGGGGAGGGTGGGGAAGTATTTTTGCATGAATTTAAAAAATGAACCACCCCCACCCCCACCCAGTCACAAAATCCTGGCTATTGTAAGCCACATAACATGATGAAGGCTATTTATCTATCTAGATCACAATGTGATATTATGTAGATAGAACCTTTTTATTTTATTGCCTAATATATAGGAATTTGCAGGATATGAAGTTTAAAAATGGAAATGTCTACAGAGGCGTAGCCAGCTTTCAGTCAGGGCAGGGGGGGTGCGATCGCAAAAAATTTCATTTTCAGTCAGGGGATGCGATTGTGGCATAAGAAGCCAACAATTAAGATTTATCTTGAATTTTACAAACATTTATGCAACTTCCTTCATAATAAATTGAGCTAGAAGCTTCAAATAAAAAGCATTTAATTTAAAGCACTTTTCTTCTCATGTTTATATTTTATTGGTTATGGGGGGATGCGATCACCAATTGCACCCCCCCCCCCCCCCCATTGTTATGCCAATGGTCTAATTGAAATGTAAAAACTCTGCATTGAACTACAAGTATTAAAAGTTGCTGATACAGATATTCTATCTACTAGTATACTCATATGAACAGAGATATAGAATTTCAAACTGAAACGTTAAAAGATAATCTGTTCTGTCATTGAAACAATATTTATGGCCAGCTAAATTTCTGAGAATTTAATGTGTTTCATTCGTTTACTCCTGGACTAATTACAGGAGTTTATCACAGTCAGAAAGAAGTTAGTTCTTCCATGGATAAAATGAGGGCAAAGAATCATATGATGCTGGATCGAGTCTTTGACATTCATATCACATATATTGCAAAAACCGTTCACTTGGCCCCATCACTCCTTATTACTACTTAGAGTGTGGATATAGACGCACAATAGACGGATTAAGCGGCTTAATCCTTCTTAATCTCCCACTAATCTCCGGCTTAGGGTTAATCCACGCGTAAAAAACTGGGCCGAACAATGGAACGGGATTATAGCGTGGTGGATTTCGGGGAGGGGGTGCGAAATTTAGGGCGTTTCCCCGGGGGTGGGGGTAGGGAGGGCGGCTACGCGGGGTGGGGTGCCGGCCGGGACCTAGACGTACTCTTCACGCCGAGACGTTCGGCGCAAACGCCGCCGACGTAGGCCCGACCGTTTTCGAGTTACGCTCCGTAGGCGAGGGGCTCTTAAAACGGATTACGATCAATTTTTCGCCGCACGTCTTAGTATTTCGGCTAAGAGAGGGAGGGGAAAGGGGGGGGAGGTTAAAGAAATACATCGGAATGGCTATTATTTTCCAATTTTCATATTTTTTTAATATGTGACCGTCCTCTTCTTTCCCAACGTCGACATCATTCTTGTTATGATATTTTTGATACTCTATCTTTAAATATAGCATATATTGCAGACTGTGGATGTATTGCAACTATTTGCAGGCTAAAATTATGCTTGTTTGGATAGCACGCGAACTTTTTGGTGTAAACTGTGAAAGTTCGAGATATTGTACATTTGTCGTGAGATTAAATACTGAGGGCAATCGCACTTTATTTTTAGATGGTTCTTGTAAGTAATAAGCCGTATACATTAATGTAAAACGCTAAGATCTCGTGTTTGTTTGTGTGTGTTCCCTGAGATAAAATACGTGCATGCTAAAATACATCCAATGTACTCTGCGTTGTAGGTATTACGCCAACGTCCGTGTCAATTGTAATCGTACAGAAATGGAAATAATCTGACCCCGATCCATCAGAAGAAATGGCGTACATTGACAATTATACATATTGATCTTCCTACAGTCGTAACTATTAATATATTACAGATATGTTATTCCTAGGTTTAAAGGTCGCAAATTCTATCAAAAAATTGTAGACCTGAACAAGTAAACCCCTTTGTAAATTTAACAATCGTATTAAGAATCAAAGTAGGTTACGATTGAAGGTTAATTTATCCAATATTTCAGGAATTCTCATATACATGTATCTGGGGCAGTGTAAACGCTAAATGTATTTTTGACACATTTCTTTTTTATAAATTTAATTTTGATGTTGCTCTGTTTTACATAGATTAATACATAGAAATATCAAAGATTTACATAGAAGGCATATTTGAGTCTCATTATTTTAATACATCTATTTTCATTGGAAAGAAAATGACAACTGATCATCTATTAAAGACCAACGAACGCTAATGATAGCGCATACAATTCAGTTCACGGGAGCACAGAACTTTAATGAGGATCCATGATGGAATAGAATGTTTTCTTTGCTTTGACCAGCAATAATTTGTCCAGATTTACTGTCGTGATAGATAGTTGATTAACAATAGAGCACACGAACAATGATAGTTCGGTTCCTGGATTTTTACTATAATTGATTGTTGTGCTTTGATTAGAAATAATTTGTCCCAGATACATAATCACGATAGAGGTACCACATATTATAATGATTTGATGCCAAGACATATTTATATTTATGACTTACGTATACTATATAATCAATGTTAATTAATAGCTGACGAAAATTGTGATTGTATAATAAATAATGAAAATAAAATAAATAAATGAAAAAACTCGCAATGTTCATTATACAAAATATGGTGTACTTTTAAAAACTAGGGCATCATTTTGAAACCCAAAGCTGAGTATTCACCAAGGTGGTCTAGAAAACATTTGATTGCCTAAGTCAAATGTTACTCGTAATTCATGAATATATTAACTTATCCTTTATATAAATGGAATATGGGTTTGGTTAAATAGAATTGTATTTCTGGTATGTCATTTAAATAAAGTAGAGAATATATCTAATTAAGCATTTTGTAACCTCAAATGGTTTTTCTATTTCGGAGTTCGAGGTATTAACGTATCAACGTATTGAATAAAAAGATTTACATGTGATATAAATTCCATCCATTTCTCCCAAATGGAATTGTAACTCTGTTTTGTCATTCTAAAGGATGTTGAAAATTATATCTTATTACCACATATTTGGAACTTCACAATGCACAACAACTGCAGAATAGAGATTAAAGATTATTTCATAATTCCCTTTATTTCTCAATTTCGGAATACTGTAAAGAAATCAATGAATGCGAAAATATTCTTCAATTGGAAGGCGTTAAAATCGTAAATGGAAATTGTGTGTTTTATCACTTATCTACTCGAAGTAAGTGTCAAACTAACCGTCTTTTTTCTTTTACCCTATTGATACGTGATTTTTTTTAATTACTAAAAAAGGGTCCTTTTGAATGCCCTGTTTTCTACTTTGTAATAGCTTTTACAGGTAAAACAACTACAGAACAACTTGCAACTGCTCCTAGGTAAAGTGCATTGTTAGTTCAAACAGCTTAATAGCTTAATGTTTAGGCCTTGATGCGCTCGCTGTGCGACTACCTTAATTGTTTAAAGGTGAAACAATAAGTGTACATGATTCGAAGATCATCATGGACCAGTGTAAAAAATATATTTAAGTTTTGAGAAACAAACTGGATGAACATTATTTCCGCTGATATAGATTCCCGATGTTGTTTGTTGTTGTGGGGTTTGCGATGGTGCTTGTTGTTGTTGTGGGGGAAGGATGTGGTTGCGAGGATGATGGTTGCTGGAGTCTCTGCTGTTGTGGTGGAGGTGATGGTGGCTGCTGAGGATGAGATTGGCTTTGTTGTTGTAGTTGTTGTTCTAGTAGACGTCGTTGTTGAAGTTGTAGTTGTTGTTGTTGAAGCAGACGAGATTTCAGTTTGTTATCATCCGTGACATTGGGAACAGATGGAGACTAAAATGAAAGTAATTTCATGTTTAAATAAAACAGCGCTAAATAGATATATTATTTTTAAACATATATTTACAGCTGGCTCGTCTAGTCTAAAAGCTAATAGCATAGGTATCACAATAAATTTTCGGAAAAAGTTAATTCAAAGGATTATTGAATGTAAACTTACATCATTATAATACACATATCCTCCTGAAACATGTGGTTGAAGCGAAAAGTTGCCTGATAGCATTTCCTGAAAAAATAAAAAGTATTATAGCAAATGCATATAAAGGAAATTAATCAGTATATTATACACTAATAGTGTCATAAAAATACTTTTTTCAAGTATACTTACAATTGTTTCGGCAGTGACTGGATAATCTGCACGGTGGCTATGGTATGCTGTACTATCGTAGATCTAAAATAAAATGAAAATGCTTGATGTGTGCACATTTAATTTTAGAGAACATAATCAAACTATGTATTGTACTGACTTAACTATAAATTAGTTCCATGAAATAATATTTTTTAATAATATGAGCTACTGACAAATGCAAGGTGGAGAGGGGCTGAATAATTTTTCAAGTATTAGTATTTGCATAATATGTAACCAATCTCTTTTATATTCATTAGACTCGTTTGCAGTATCCTAAGGTTTTAAATGAATTTTGGTAAGCCATTGCTGAGATAAGGCTAATCATAAATGATTTACTCCAGCATTTGTAAATAACTGAATCATATATATTTAATAATAACGCATATTTTATTAAAATTAACATACTATGGCACATTCCGGTTCTTCATCGATATCCATGTTGTTATTGTCTTGCATTGCAACTGAAATATGAAGTAAATTATATTAAAGTGAACGAAAGGAATAATACAAAACATGCTAACATATTTTTGTCATTGCTAAAAAAATTTAACATAAACAAATTGACAGCTTAAATAAAATTTTAAAAAGTTTTGGAGTTCTTTTTTGCATTGATTTGCTTTAAGAATCAAAACAAAGCAATGTGCTTGACATTAACCTTATTTGTTTAAAATGATTAAATTGGTCATAACTTACATTTTCCAATGGCTATCCTTTTCCAATTATATATCTTTTAATCCTAGTAATTTTTTAATTCAGTGTATAATATTCATTGAGATATGTTAAGTCTTAAGTGTACAACATACTTGTGAGGGAAGCTTATGTTCTAAAGCCTAAACCAATCAGTAAGTTTCAACCAAAAGTGTTATAAACGTTTGGACCAGCATTCTACAAAGGAATTAAAATGATTCAAAAGTTCGACAAAGAAAACAAACGCAATAACCAAGATGCGAGTAGAAAAAAACTTGATTTACGTCATTAAAAATTCAAAATTCAATCAAAGTAATATCATATTTGAAATCTACATGTAAAATTACATGTAGATCTGTGGTTTTAAAAAGTGTTTATCAACTTTGAAAAATTAATTTTCTTCGAAAATGTGACTTCTAGCTCGGGGAGATTCCCCATAGACCTCGTGATATAAAATTATAAAAAAAATGATATCTTTTCTTTTAGTTGACAGATAATATTTTGCTTTATTGGACATATTTTCATTAGTATAAGTATCAGACACATAAGGGTTACATGAAAATTGAGCCACTAAAATTGATCTGGGTATTTGAAAGCAAAATCATTTCAAAACTCTGCCGATTGTTGAATACGGAATATGAAAAGTTCCAATCAGAAAATAGAAAAAATGTTCTTACTGCTGAATACACTTTAAACATCAAAATGATTAATGTGAATGTTAATGTTCGGACAAAGAAAAATGTACAATCGTTATTTTTTTTCCTTTTTTATTTTGATGTTTTGACTGATTTATTTGTGTGAACATTTCTACTGGATTTCTACCTAGTTTTGAGTTGAGGATTTTTGTTTTGATATATCGTTTTCTTTATTTGAGGTTTTCAACATTTGCTTTGCCATTTTATTTTCTCTGTTCGATGTGTCGAAATTTGTTATATTCCTTTTTAATGGATGCTTTGTTCATTGGATTTTCGTTTAAGGAAAATTCTTTGAAGTAGTGAAAGAAGAGAAATTTGAAAGTTAGAACTGAATAACTAAATGTGGAAACTGAAAGGTCGAAAAAAAGTCAGAAGGGAGGGGGAAGGACTAATAAATTGAAGAGAAGATTGGTTTTACTTCTGCATTTTCCTGCCCACTGTTCTTAGTTTATATTTAGTTTTAAGTAGTGATAGAACGAAAACACGTCGTGTAACATGAAAAAAAAAATTTTTATTTGAAAAAATCAGCTAGTACTATCCATTTCTGTTCTCTCTATATCATAAACAAGCTAAAATCACAGCCTAAGCGTCTTTATATTCCTCTTAAAAACTTTAAGTAGTTTTGCCTTTTATATTACAGTATGTGCAGCTTTGTACATCTCACAGTCTCAGATGATTTTAGAAGTGTCATTTAACGTTATATTTACATGGATCAGATCAGATCTAGCGTTATCATATATTATGTCGTCTCACTACAGATCTACAGTTCGGATACTAGAGACTAAAGACTAGAGTACTTCCACTAAATATATGATCTACGTCTTCTCATTACAGTCAGCTCCTGGTACAGTGTGTCATTACAGACCTACAGTTCAGTTACCAGTTACTATTCTAGTACTTCCTTCAATACAGTTTCTGAATCTTCCCGTTCGACCTCTGCATCGGAATCCTCCCGTTCAGCTCCTGCAATTATAGAAACGTAATTGATATGATAATAATATAGTTCCTGAAGTTATGGTGATGTGGATAGAATACTTTTGCAACTATTGTCAACGTACTATCGTTCGGATCTTAAGTACATCATGTCAGCGGGAATTAAAGGCGAAGATGACAGCACTTAACAAGGCAGCTGTGGTACATTGCACCTAAGACCGATTTATAACTTTGTTTATACCTGAATTGAACACATAATGATTTATTTATTTTTTAAAAAGTAACTGTAGATGAAATGTATATACCTGGCGTAGCTATCTTCTCCAATCTAGATCTGACTCTTGACCTGGTTCTGTGAGCTAAAGGCTCCTCTGGGGGCGAATCGGAATCAGAGCTTGTTATCGAAAGCGGCGCTGAAGAATGATGAGAGGAATCGGAATTTACAGAATTCATCTCTACGTCCTCGACTTGATTTTCAGCTGCTTTTCGGAACTTTCCTCTTAACCATATTAACAATCCTACAGTTACAAAATTAACCAAAAATAAGAAGTGAATACAATTAGACCAAAGTAAAAGCTTATGTATATTGTTCTTTTGAGCTCTCATATTCTCATTATGTAGATGTATTTTACTGAACAATGTTTATCCCTTAAATATATTCTATATTTTAACGTTTGGAGAACCTATCTACTTTACCTGTGATAGTGGCTAACAACCCTGTGCTGGGTAAAGCAATTTGTATCGTCAAGAGTAGCACAGATTCCTCATCCGAAGTGTCCGAAACCCCTCCCCCTCGTTGAATTATTGAAGTCGTCGTCGTATATGGGGATGCGGAAACTGTAAAGTGACGTATTTGTTACTGATTACGGGACTTAAATAAACAACTACCCTATCAATATGATGATAATAAGATTCAAATCTCTTCACATATGTTAAATCGGAATTCACCTGTGTTTAACACTGATGATAAATAGCACCAGTTCGATTTATATTGTACGATATTATTAACAGGAAATATGAAGATAATTACTATTGTCGATGGTGTCTTTGTAATTCTAGTAAAACTTGACCCTTTATCTCGTCAATATGTTATAGATTAATTAAGTGAGGTGAACGAATTGCATGATCGCCCTGTATGCCGGTATCTAGGTTTAAAAAATGCTTAAAGTACACATATGTAAATACCTGTCGCGCAGTTTCCAAGATACACTTGTCCCAGCACAAATGTGCAATATCTAGATGGGTGACAGAAGGCCCCGAAGCTCGCGGTTCCCTTCTTTCCCCAACATTTGCAGGCATTTCCGCATATCACAGTCGGTTCGCAAACACATTGTAATCCATAAGAAACACTCAGGCTCAAGATTATACCCAAAACAATCCCTAACAAAGACATGTTCTTAGGTCGTACGATGCTCTCCTTATGACAAAATATTGGAGGAAACCTTACTTGTCACCAGGGATTCGGGGATGGGCAAAATTATTACGCAATGTGAATCTTGCCCAAGGGTTATCTTGATGCCTTCGAAGCGGGTCGATTGTGTTCCGGGCAAGATGAAACGTTTTAATTCGAAAACAAACATTGATAGAGACAACGCGACGCCTTTACAGATTCGGAGATTGCAAACTTCTAAGGCTATAGCATTCACGGTACCTGGATGAGGTCTCTGGTGCAAGATGTTTAAACTTGTTACACCGTGTCTGCTATATGCCAGGGGCATTGATTAATTGTAAAATGTTTTGTGTATGTATTTTGTGTATTTATTTAAGTGTAAATAGGGAAAGAAGAAGTTGAAAATATATAGAGAGCTTACATGCATAGATCTGCGTTTTGTTGGTTCGACACTACTTATTACATTATCATACCTTAAAGTGATGATTATTAATCATGTGTATAAAATCTTAACGGAAACGTGAGGAATCATAAGAGCCTGAAATACATGGGCTCTCATTCAACTTCCAATCGCTAATTTTCAATCTGTCCGATTATTAATTTATCTACAATCAATCCAACAATGCAATGTAAAATTAGTACACAATAGTAGGCTAACACTTTAGTAGATCAACACAGTATCAGAAGTCCAAGAAAGACACAATAATATGGAAAACGTAGTGTTTACGATTGTCTTGGGTTCATTGTTTGTGGTAGCGGCAATGGGTGAGAAATGCATATGCAACAATAAATCATGTGATTCTTGTGACTGTACATATTATCCCGATGGAGGAATTATTGCGACTTGTTTACAAATAGAGGAATGCGCGAACATTATTCAGTCAAACTCGCTTGAGATTATCGGTGGAAACTGCCTCATTGATTATATGACGACAACTTCAGGTAATTTCATCATGGTAATGATCATTTAAAAGAGAAGGGGAAATGGGAGAGGGGGGGAGGAGAATCCTTCACAATATAACTTATCAATTTTAACTAAATTCTAAGTTACAGTTACACAGAGAGAGAGATGTGTCTTTATCTTTTTGAATGTTAAATTTCAAAATAATGTAGTGTTCAGCAGATGTTATCGAGTTCGTTGTACATATTCTTTCTTTGTTCTCATAGGTGAAATAAACGTAAATTACAGCGTTACTACTGAACAAAACCAGGACGCCACGTCTGATTACACCCTATATAGCGTCACGGGCTTCACGGGTGGGGAGGATGCAACTACGGTGGGTTTTACTTCGTCGGCTCGAGTGACTGCAAACGGTAACTGTTGCACAAACTCCCCAAATATGTCAACTGACAATGCAAACGGATTAACATCTACCCGCATAAATATCCTGACTAATGCTACTATAATTGAAGGTTCCAACAGTCCAATGTATTTATCTTCAACCCAGGAAGCGTATTCCCTCCATTATAATGGGACAAGTGCGAATGTAATAACGACCCAATCGCTTCAACTGCCAATTGCAATTGGAATATCCGTTGGAATTGTCGTTGTTGGACTTATTATCTTGGCTATATCGTGCATTTTTCACCCAAAATTACGCAAGCTGTGGAGTCGTAATTCTAACGTTCTCCATGTAGGTGAAAATAATGAAGTGGGATTGGGGACCATGCCAAGCTCTGATAGGAGTACGCAGCAAGTGGGACTTTATGTTTATGAAACGAGTTTTTAAGCTGAAGTTGATTTGTTTTTTCACCAAACTATAAAGAATGCATTGACGTTTCAGAAATGTATCATAACCAAAGAGCCCTCGATATTTGAGATATATTACATTTTGACTTAAAATATATTATGACATACGATTTCTACTGCATCTCCATATTATATTTTCCAGTACACTTCAATTCAATTAACACTATAATTTACGCGATGTAATGTATATGAATCAGAGTCAATGAATAAATTCGTATATTTACTGTATTGAATTGTTGTAATTTGATCGTGTCTTTTATAATAAACGTTTTGGTTAATAAAAAAGAAAGAAAATAATCTGCCTCGTGTGTGAGTTTTGTTCTTAGACCTAGACTTCCTCTCTATCTCTTAAAATGATAATCAAATATCCATTAACTCAACGTGATATCAGTAACAGTAGGACAGTACAAGTAGTAAATCTATATAATCTTATGTCCATGATTACGGGCATTGGTGACAACAATCAATAACGCAGATGCGAGTAGTTAGTTACCAGATTCACCACCAGGTGGCTCGTTCGGGTCAGATAGCATGGCGGGTATAGTAGAATGTTCCCTTTAACTTAAATAACATCTATTTGCGTGGTTCAATTTTCATATAACCCTTATGTATCTGATAGTTATGCAAATTAAAATATGTCCAGTAAAAGAAAATGTTATCTGCCCAATACAAGAGAAGATAATTCACTTTTTGTGATTTTCTAACATGGGGTCTATGGGGAATCAACCCGAACAAGAAGTCACATTTTCAAAAAAATTAAATTTTCAAAGTTGATAGACAATTTTCGAAACCATATTTCTAGATGTACATTTACATACAGATTTCAAATATGACATCGCTTTGACTGAATTTTGAATATTAATGACGTAAATCAAGATTATTTCTACTCGCATGTAGTCTATTGGTGGTGGAGCCGTATAGCATCCATAGAGACACGAGAACTATGGAAATCACCACAAGACCGGCTAGCAAAGAATATAGAGTTGTATTTGACAAACGCGTGCTGTTACCGGACTTTTCATCCAGGTCTTATGGCACAGTTGATATTTGATAACCATGTTGAACTAACAAAACCAGGACTTTTACACAACAAAATCTATGTAGTATATTTATCATTCTACAATCTTCTACATGTAGTCGGAAAGAAAATATATACAACATATACGTTAATTGATTATGTATCCAAACACAGCAATAACAACATGTTTATACAATAGACAATATATTAAATGATACCATAAAAAATCATTGTTTTTTATGTTTTTTGATCAGTTTCAAATAAAATAAGATTTATACACATTCTCACCCTTGCTTAAAACGTAATTGATGGTTTCGTAACATAACTGTTTCATTTTTTAGTCGAAATAATTGAATTCGTAATTCATAGTATTGAGATCCTTAAATTTTCCCAACACGAGTTCGTTCAAATACGTTTTCATCGAAGAAAACATGAAGACAATCCTTTCAATTGAAGCTAGACAGTCCGAGATAGGAGAAATGTTTATTCTAGAACACAATGCTTGGTACAAGTCGGCAACCTCCTCCTTCGTGACGCTGTCCACAGCTTTTTCAAAGTAAATATGTACGACCTCCTGCCATGGGGCCAGACAGTGAAAATGTTCTTTTTTCGAAGGATGATCGACCTGTAAAGCACAAAAAATAAGATGGTTTGATTAGAAATGGAAAAACACAAATTGATTTAAAGATGGCGCCAATACCCAAACTGATTTACCTAGCTATTGGTTATCCAAATCAGTTGCCAATTTTGTATTGATTTAAATGTTACTGATTGTACAAATGCGTACTGACATACTACGATTATTTGTTTGTTTACTACCTAATACTAAATACAGTAATTTTAGTCAATCAATACTGTCATAGAGATAGAGTAATTATTATTCAGTACCTGACACCCGTAGCATTCTTTGGTCGCCAAACTTAGTATTTTATCTTCTAGGGCATTAACATACGTTATCTTTAACATCTCTTTAGGGCTGTCTGGTGCTCGACGTTTCTCGTGCATTTCTCCCGCCTCGGATAGATCTATACCATCCCGAACTGCAAAATCCCTGCAAGCTTCCTTCGACAAAAACCAGCGCTTTTGCCTTTTGAATTTAAATATTTTGATAGATTCGTCTTCCCTTTTTCTTTTTAAGCAGTCATCTTTTAAAACGTTACTTATATCGTTTCGTATACTCAGCAAACGCCTCCATGATTCGAAAGATACCTCAAAACTAATGCGTGGCAAAGTTTCACAGTCTGGCAGTCTAAAATTGAGGTTCACTTTGCCTCCTTTGTCTTTGTATAATCGGAACACGATAGATCTTGTTTGGGATATTTCAAACATCCAGTCGCCATCTGATACTTTGATGTCATTCATCAAATTGATCATGCTCTCACTCAAAGACAAAATCTGACTCCATTCTTCCTTTGTGAATAATACTGTCTCAAATTTATTGTTTCTTAGAATGACACTAGTGGGCATTTTGAATGCTGTCACATCGACAGACATCTCCTCGTTTATTTCGAATGTGTTTGATTCCATTTCAAACGCTTATTAGAACAAAACAAAAAAAACTTGAATATATTACAGTTTATGTGTGAAATCTTTAAAACGTGTAATTGCAACTTGTGCTACGTGTGTACTGTATTGTGTGTACTGTATTTGTATTATGTATCTTGATCAAATGAGAAAAACATAACAAATTGCTGTGATGGTCTTGTCATGGCATCAAAAATTGGATAAACATCCTATCATAATGGACTTTTCCCTCAAACAAATGTTGTTCTTTGATAATACCCATGTTGTGAAGTTAATTTTTCAGACATGTCAATTCGGGAACGATAAAATAAAATCTTTAAATCCCCTAAAATATTTCTCATCTTTTGTTAATTTACATGCCATTCATTTTTTGATAATTTAAAGCGGTTTGTATAGGCTCCCACTATTGTCGAATGTTTTTTAATCTTATTTCAGCTCATGTTTTATCTATTGAGTACATTTTGTACGAAAATATTGTGTAAAATATTGTCATGGTACCAAAATATTGGATTATCATTCTAGCATAATAGACTTCCTGTCAAACAATTGTTGGTCTTTTTGACAATGCACATTTTTTCGTCAATGAATAAGATCTTTAAATCCCTTCAAGTATTCCTTATTTAATTGTATTAATCTAGTAAGCATTTTTTAGTGTTGCCGCATTGACTGAATATTTAATCTCATTTTACACATATACCCAGATACCCGAATACTAATCTAAAGTAAGAGAATATTTTAAAATGTTTTAGTGCAAAAAATAAAACTGTCCAATCTTTGTCCAAAATGTGCAATGTTAGAATAGTGAAACTGCCTTTCCTAATTTAACTTGTCTGGCCTTAAAGGCGAGCGATCTGATAGATTCACTTATGCGAGGGACAACTGTTAAAAAACGTTCCCATTCTTTCCACATCAGTTGAACATTTTCCTTTTTCTTGTCGGTACTCGTTTTATGTATTACAATGTAATTATTTTCTTGCCCTTTCGTTATCTTTACCCAAATGACATCTTTCAAAACAATTAATTTGTCGTGCCTCTCGCTGCTTTGCAGTAGCGTTTCGTACTTAGACTGTATTTCTCCAATAGCTTGACGTAATTCGGCAAATTGAGTAGAAGATAGCAAAACGGAGTTGCTTGTAAAAGCGAGTTTTTCATCACTGTATTCTGTTTGCCTCAAAACAATATACGGCTTTGGAAATTTTCCCTGTTTAACTTCTACATTAAAGGTTTCGCTGCATAAGTAATTTCCCAAAGTCTGGACATCGTTGGTGGCCATCTTACAATTTTTTCGATAAACTGCTGATTATACGTGAATCTTTATACGTTATTCTGTTATTTGTGATTATTATGGACTAAGGAAGTCAGTTATATGAAAATCCAATCACAAAGTAAGCCATAATCTAGCCAATGACATCTTACGTTTACTAGACCCTTTTAAAACCCCGCCCCTTTGTGTGCTTTGTCTCTGTTTAGGATTGGTTGTCTTGAACCTTCTATTACCGGGCGGCTTGGGTACAAACATATCTTCCACATTGGTTTCGTCTTCTGAAGTATCATCTTTTTCCCCCGATTTTTCTGACAAAGACACTTTTACTTTGATATTGTCATCATTATCACGAACGACGCTTTCGGATTTTAGATTTGATTTTACATTACTATGATTTTTAGGTTTAAGCTCTGCGTTATCATTTCTTTGTTTCTCCATCATGGCTAGCTTTTCGGCTGGAACTAAAACAATGTCTTTTTTCGAAGGCTCCGTATTTTCTCGTTTGGTGTCTTCGATCTCGTCCTGCTCTTTTTGTACGCTATCATTCTCTTTCTCTAACGCCTTCAGCTGTTCTACCGGCATGAGGATACTTTTGAAACTCATTTTATTTTTGGTAAAACGTGTTTCAACAATTTTGTTACAGCTGCTTGTTTTGATAATAGCGTCTCCCTCTTTGCTCGTTTACTAGGTCTTTTATCTCCCAACAGTTCGTAGGTGTTTCTATACGGATACAGCTCTTTGAGTTGGTCCCGTTTCAATGGAATAACTCCGAAAATTAAGTTTTTACAAATTTCCCCTATTGACTGTAATTGTTCCTTTGTAGCGGTGTTCAACAAGGCAGTTCTTTGAACCTTGGAAGTAGTTTTTGCTAATAAGTTCAAATAATCCAAATTGCTTAGCACGACCTTACTCATTTCGATCCTCTAAGTTTATGATGAAACATGCAAATTAGGCGGAGTTATATATCACGCAGTTTTCCCCCGGAAAGATTTTACTTCGTAACTTTTGAGAGGGGTCAGATTTAACATGCAAATCAATAATCAAATATCCATATTTTTCCGAGACCGCATCGTTATACGCCTTAATCAAGCCCTTTGCATTCCAGGGCATAATCTGTCTTGATAAGACATTTATACTTGTGTTGTCTCTAAGATTTTTGAAGAGGACAATATATTGTATGTTCAAGGATATTGTCCTCATATTTCTTTCAAACAGATTGTGTACTACCATCAACACAGTTATCTGAAATCATTTAAATGTTTATTTCGCATTAACTGTACATTATTTTATTTTTTAATTTGGTTTTGGGACATTTAAAGAGTAGAAACGGGCGTCGTAATTTGATTATTGTTGCTAATCAGCATTCGGTTTAAATTATAATGGTCTTTTTTAGAGGATTATTTAAATTATTACATAAGAAAACGCTTATCAATCCACCTTACCTTAAGGTGGTGTGTTCCCATTATGAATAAGGACGTGAGATATTTGCTAGCGGCAATCTGTATTCCAAGGTCGTCTAAAACAAATATCACTGGTGTCTCACCCGTCAAGTTGCTTATCATTTCTTCAGTTGGTATTCCTTTTATAAACTCTATATCAGGTATTTCCCGTTGCATTACGTCAAACAGTGGTTGATACAACGAGTAAAAATAATATATTTTTGTAACTGTCTCACCAATAATAAGTCCGTCTTTGTTTTCTAAAAATCTTTTTATAAAGCGCGTTTTGCCACTCCCGGTACTTCCACTGATCATGATGGAACTATTCCCGATAAAACCAGCTAGAGATTTCATTTCCCACCATGGCTTCTTTGAAACATTCACTTGCTTTTCTCCATCTTCCACCGACATGTTTGAATTATCCATAATCTACTTTTATTCAGTTTTTCCAGTACTAAACTCAAACACTACCACACTTTACATCCAACAGGCCTGGGGATCCTCGCCTGGCTATAAATAGTGAATTTACTTATTAGAATCGGTATTATATACTTCGGTATTGACAGTTTAAGAGTAACACAGATGGAGACGCATGATAACAATGATGATCGAGAAAATAGTGGAGAAAATTGGGAAACTGTACTTAAAAAGATATATTACACACCCGATGCACCGGCGAGCTTTCAAGGCTCTAAAAAGCTCGTACAGGAATTGAAAAAACGGGGTATAAATGACGTTGGGAAAAACAAAGTTGAAACTTGGCTTAGAAAACAAGATGTACACGGCCTATACAAGCCAGTTAAAAGACGTTTCAAAAGAAACAAGGTATGGGTAAATGGATTAGATTGAATGTGGGACATGGATTTAGCTGATTTTTCAGCCCTAAAAGATTCTAATCGGGATTTCAAATTTGTCCTAATACTGATTGACATTCTCTCGAGACATCTCTGGACGGAACCTTTAAGAAACAAAACTAGTGCCGAAACTAAGAGGGCAATTGAGAGTGTCTTTGAAAGAACCAATAGGCGCCCTAGCTTCATAAGACATGATAGAGGTGGCGAGTTCCTTGGCCTACCCGTGAAGAACTACCTTAAAAAACAAAATATTCATGCATTTTATTCATCTAACGAACCAAAAAGTAATTACGCAGAACGTGGTGAGTTATTAAAACGCAGCAACACAACAAAAGAGAAAAAAGATATACCGTTTTTTAAAATACATTTTACTAACAATACAAATAGTCAGCATACCTATAAGAATGTAAAAATGAATATAAATACCTAAAGAATAAAATATAACAATAACGTAAAATGAATACATTTGAATTGATAAAAAAAATAATCGTATTATGTATAAGTACATTACAATAATTTCCTCTGTAACGAGATGTAATTCAGTTCAATTAGTTTCTAGATTACGTTATGTGAAAAGGATTTAACATTTTCTTTTTTTCAGTGATAAAAACGCTTAAAAGAAAATTGTACAAATATATGGAAGCTAAAGATACGGATAATTATTTGGATGTACTACAACAAATAACAGAGAGCTACAATAATACCCAGCATGGCTCTCTCGATGGCTTAGCCCCGACGGACGTGACTGTTGACAATGAACATATTTTGTACGATAAGCAATTAAAACGGGCGAAATTAGACGAACTTGGCGGAGGAGATAAAGACAAGAAAGCACAATCTGACGTTAAACAAAAGGATCAAATAAAAGTAGAAAGCGAACAGGACACGCGAAAGAAACGAAAGACTAGATTTAGTTTTAAAATTGGAAGTTACGTAAGAATTTCCCAAATTAAAAAACAATTTCTAAAATCCCACATGCAAACGTGGTCTGGCGAAATCTTCGTTGTGACCGGCCGCAGAATAAGGCAGGGGATCCCGATTTATACTTTGAAAGATTATTCTGGAGAAAAAATCGAAGGCACGTTCTACGAATCTGAGTTGCAAAAAACTCGGGTAGACCCGGACAAAATCTACGCCATTGAATCAATACTGGGTTATAAAGGTAAAGGTCGTAATCGTTCGGCATTAGTTAAATGGAAGCACTGGGGGAGTAAATACAATTCGTACGTTCCAGTCTCGGAAATAAAGAATTACAAAGCTACTTTGCAGATATAGAATAGTACGAATCAAGTGCAGAGAGAATAAAAACAGCAAAAAAACGAACATGAATTCAAGTTTCTATATGTTTTTAAATAGTGGGGATTCTAAACAATTTTACCCAAATAATTCACCTTTGGATTTCACAGTGAGACTACCTTCAACCAAAAGACTCAATGGCATGTGGGTAGTTGGTCTGGTGGAGGTCACCATTCCTTTCACAACGCCCTACACAAATGACTCGTCAACAATCGCCATTTGTTGCGATATTATAGATGGTTCAATACACTCCGGCA